TACGAAAATATTTCTTGGTTTTTTTTATTTTTTTTATTTTTTAGAATTAAAATCCAACGAAGATATGCTATTATATTATACTTCCTTTAATAACAGTACATCTCAGAAAAACAATCCTAAAAACTGAAAACACTGGCGAAAAAAACCCTGATGATTAAAGGGTACAAAGACTAAATAAGTTAGAGTCAGTGAGTTAACTTTTTATCTTGCAGCCTAGCTGTTGTTAACTTAACTTAATTATGATTTTCCCATCCTTTTTGATGTGATGTTCAATGGACTATTTTTTTTTTCTTTTTGGAAAACAACCGTATTGAACTGTTACTTTACGAAACCAAAACAGCTTCTTAGGTAATAAATGCAACATCGGAAGAAAAAAATACTCGAATAAGAATAGCTGTGAGTCTACCTGACTCCAGCGATAATCACCTTCCTACATTCATTCATTTTTCACGACATTGTTACTTATCTGGTAGTCCAAACTGTCATATTCCTGTATTTATTCATTAGTTATATTACATGCTAAAGACATATGATATCTTTCTTGCCTTTTTGTCTTTGAAAGCAGATTTGTATCTCTAGATCTCAAAAATATTTTCCTACCTGCAAGACAATACGTAATTGTAACTTAAGAATGAAATTGTGTTGAATAATCAAAATAGAATAATAGAATAGTCCTTTTCCTATTTACATGACTAAGCCTCGATTAATTGAATGAAAGTCATTGACGTGAATTATGAGCTAAAAAAAAAAGAGTGACGTTCTTTTGGAATCGTACGTGTTTAACTCGAGAACACTAGTTTTCGAGCCGTTTGTGAAATACCTGTAAAACATCGAACACCAATCTCTAGTTCAGATCTTCTCCAAGCCCCTGGAAGTGGTAGTAGCAGTAGTGGTGGTAGTGGTCGTGGTAGTGGTTAATTACTGCTGCCACTACCACTGCCACTGCCACTGCCACTGCCACTGCCACTGCCACTGCCACTACCACTACCACTACCATTAAACATCTTGCATAAAGTAAAGCAAAGATTTTAGCGCAATGGACAGCCACTAGTTCAAGAATCCAATCATATATCATACACATAATCTCGTTTCCTAAAACTAATAGACACAAGAATTCTATTTTTGTCTCAGTTTTTTTTTATAAAACGTTTGACATGGCGCTCTTCCAACATCAGTCTGCAAAGCTTATCCTTCATTACACGACTGATCTCTAATACATTCACGAATAATATCTACCAAGTACAAAGCAGGCAATCGCTCTTCGACTTCCAAGTGGCTTAGCAGAGTCTGATATTCAACATTAATCATTGCGTTCTTAATTATTCCAAAGCTTGGGCACAACCTGAACTCTAGCAAACGCAGATACCAGCTGATTTTCTATTTTCGCCTTTTTTCCTCGCTCTATTTTAAAAATTACGTCTAAATAAAATAAGAGCTCTCCGTAACTTGATGACACAAATTACTGTTTGCCTTCCTTGATTGCTTTTGAGTGTGTGGAGACTCTTCAACCATGTGATAATGCTAGCTTTTTAAAGTGATAAAAACTGACATTCGAAGTGGAAATCTTTACTTTCGTCCCTTGAGTTGAGTTGTATATTTTTCTGTTCTTCAGATGCGTTTTTAAAGTTGGTAGCTTGATAGAAAAGTAGAATAATTACCGCGCGCGTAAAACAGAATTAAAATAGATTAGGCGGTCTTCCTGTTACTAAGTATTGAAGAGCAATTTTATATTTTGTATAATTCTCCAGGGATTAGACCTTCATTTACAGAGCTTTGCCTAAAAAACAGGGTTTTCTAAAGGAGCAATGTTAAAGAAATTTAAGGCTATGGCTAGAATACTGCGCGCATTAATGATTCTCTGTAATGAAGGAAAAGGGAAAATAAGGAAACTAACTGATAACTAAAATCATTATCAAGGTCTTGTCTTGCTTTGCTTTTGATTGCTTATCAGTAACGAATGCTGATGGACCTCAACAGTTTTCTATTCTCCATAGAAAACCTAGATGATGTCTGAATATTTCATTCATTTCACCTCATTTGTTTAGTTTCGACGCAAATCCATCTCAATGTTCTATTTTTTCGTTTCCTTTGTCTCATAAGCGGTATTCGTAATGCCAAAACGCTTAACGCGCTCGTTAAGTATCTTGTTTGTGTAAATTGTTGGATTTTTTTTTTGCCGGTTTCTGCCAGATAATCGTCTTTTTTTTAAACAAATTTCAGGGCGCTTTGCGCCGAAAGAAAAAAAACCGAGCTAAGAGTGCATAGGGTAATGAGATGTTAGCCGCAACTCTTAGTTAGATTTGAAACGCATAATGGTGTGTTAACAGCAGATCGTAACAGCCATTACATAGAGTATCATTACAAAAGCATCAGCGTCGCTTGAGGTCAGCGAAAAAAGCCAAAACATTTTCGGTCGAACACCGTGAGAACCAAACGCTGTCTGAGGGAATATTCCCCAAAGGGGTTGAATACATCACGATCTGGCCATACATTAAGCTAAGTGCTTTATAATCAATGATATGCGAACAAGACTCGGCCCGTGACACCTGCGGAAATGAATCCCGTCACGTGACTTCATGACGTCAGGCACGGAGAGTGGGCGATCTGTTAAGGACTTGAAATTGGTTGTAATAGCGATCAGACAGCAAAAGCAACCGAGGAATCCGGCAAAGAATCCTATGCAAAGAATATTCCCTCTGCAAGATCGTGTTAGTGGATCGGTCACAGTTCTAAGGTAAGAGCCAGATTAATCTGCAAGATCCCTGAGTTTTTAAGCTGGTGGTGCGAATCTCTAGCAGCATCGAGTACGCCATTCTCCAACAAGACTGTATTTTTCTTGGAGGGGTTTGAAGTCGTCAACGTCGAAACCCTTCGAGCAACTTTGTTAGTTCCGAAAAATATCTCCATAAAAAAAGAAGGATCAAAAACCTCGAATTCTTCAGTATTGCGCCACAAGACCTACGCATTTTACCGACGTAAGATTTTTCTCAAGATCCTTGCAAATGGCAAGGTAATTAATGAAATGAAAGAATTCGTTTGAGGCCACTCAAGAAATGAAATAAGTGCCTTTTAAGGTGAATTCCTTCCAAGTCTGACCTTTTCATACTTTTAATTAAATACCAGTTGTGCATGTAAACAATTGATTTATAATGTTGTCATTTAAATCCCCAGTAGAAGAGTTTAAGAGATAGTTTGTTGTTTTTCCTTAGGTAATTCTACCCAGGTTCAAAATGAAGCACGTCAAGCAGCTGTTTTTCGTTGTTCAAGCTTTTTATGTCGTTGCGCAAGACGCTCTAGCTTCGAAGTACACTGGAATGGGGAATTTGAGCCTTCCGTTCTCATGCGCCCAAGAGAATTCATGCAAGAATCGAACTAGATGTGGTAAAGAGTTAGAGACGCAAAGAGGTGAAAATTCGCCACCGAGATGTTTCTGTGATTCTCACTGTTCATCACTGAATGATTGCTGTGCTGACCACGAGCCGTCTTGTCAGACGAACAACCAAGCCAGCAGGATCCCGAAAACACATCTTACGGCCAACACATGGCGGTGCTATCAGTACTCCAAGATCCCACGTTCTCCAGGAATATGGATGATAGCCACTTGTCCTGTTAATTACACAGATAATATGGTAACAAGAGCGAAATGTGAAGACGCTGCTAATAAAGCCTTGACGTCCTCATCGAACGATTTCTTGAGTAATGTACCAACTACGCACTGTTATAAAGGAGGTAGCTGCGTCATTTTTAGAAACTACTACTGCGCCCGATGCAATGGCGTTTTGGCGCCAATATTTTGGAAATTAATTTGGAGGTGCAATATCAGTCCCCCTAAACACTTGAACAACACTGAGAGCCTTAAGTTTTTGTTGAAATATTGTCCCGATTTCCGGCTTGAACCTCATGATAGCACTTCGAGGAGGTACTGCTATGGTGTGGTTTCAAACTGCAGCGCCAAAGTCGATTCTTTTATCAAAGATGACTGCGTCAAAGGACCGGCGCGATTGGTATACCACTCCAAAACAGACAAACACTACAAGAATCCCAGTTGTTTAATGTGTAACGGACTGAAGCTCGAGGATGCTATCTGCGGCCCCAGTGAATTCTCATCTCAAGTTTTTCAGCCGAAATCTTTTGAAATGGTGCTCCAGTTTGCGAAGCCTCCATGGGGTAACGAATTAACTAGTACAACTACCAATACGACATCTTGCGGTAAAGAAATGGTTTACGACAAGTTTCTGGAAGAATGTCGTCGAGGTGCTCTCCCAGATCCTGTTCAATCTATAGTAGACAAATTTCGTTTCAAGATGTGGCTCAGACCTGTGTCATTGGACACTTTAATGGAAGATAAGGATGTTTTTAAGCGCGCAATTCTAGAGAGATTTTCCCTCTCGCCGCGTGGCGTGACGGTTATCTCGTTGAAGAAAGACGAAAACTCTGTAGCAGCAATCTTTGACGTACAAGCTATTTCCACTAACAACTCACTCAATACATCTTCGCCACTATTTGATCTAAAAAGCCTCCTGCATTTCAGCGATCACTTCAAGCTATCGATACAAGGAAAAACTTGGGACGTGTTCAAAGTCACGCACAAGAGATTGGCATGTTCTAAACCCAGCATCTATCCACCAGGGAATTTTACACGTTTTAACGATTCTAGTTTTTTAGTGAATAACGAAACCTTAGTCGCAGTAGAAGACGGGCAGATCATTTCGCGGAACTATTCCTACAAAAATATTCAAGCTGGGTCGTTATTTGTATGCACGTCCTTTTTCAGCGAGATTTGTAATCAGAGCCAAGTACTTCTTGCGCTAGAAGAAGAAGACTACGCATTATTGAATGACACAGTGTATTTTAAAGCAGCCGGTCAAAGCTACCCTCCCGGGTCGTACGAGATGCAGGGGACGACAGCTTGGGTGTGTACGGGTTATAAGAACCATACCAACTCAATCTTAAACAATCTTTTTAATGCGCAAACAAAGTGGATGGATAATGAAATCCTTTGGTATTTTACAGTCTGTGGTTTTAGCATGTCAATCGTGAGTTTAGTCTTTCTACTCGGTACGTATGTGATCTTCAAAGAGCTTCGCACGTTGCCTGGTAAGAACATGATGAGCCTGTCAATGGCGCTTATTCTAGGCGAGTTCATGTGGCTGTTGGGATCAGGAGACACGGATAATCCAGGCCTGTGCAAAGCATCCGCGGTATTGCTCCATTATTTATTCCTGGCTTCGTTCGCTTGTATGACGGTGATTGCGTACGACACCCGGCGAGCTTTTCCTAAAAACAACGCGCACATGTCCAACCACTTGTTCCCGTCAAGTCAACTACGCCTAATTGTGTATGTACTATTCTCCTGGGGACTTCCCCTGGTGTTCGTCGTCACCTGCTTCCTCCTCGACCAACAAGGCGCAGTTGCTATTGGATACGGCAACACTGTCATATGCTGGCTAACGGAAATGAAGGCTCAGATAATAGTCTTTGGAGTTCCAGTTGGAGTTATGCTGCTTTACAACTTGGTCGCCTTCATACAGACCGTCCTATCTATAAGGGTGGCCAGGATTGGATCCAAGACCCTCCATCGCCAAGGTGGTACTCATGGCAGCGACTGTAAGATCTACTTGAGATTGATGACCCTTATGGGATTCACTTGGTTTTTTGGATTCGGCGCGCATGCGCTGCACGAGTCGTTGATGTACGTCTTTGTTCTTCTGACGTCACTGCAGGGCGTGTACCTTGCCCTCGCCTTCGCCGTCAAACCACATGTGTTTAATTTGTACAAAAATAGGGTGGCTACGTTCAGCATCAGCAGAAAAACGACCATCTCTACTATGGATCTTACGACTAGTATGMAAAGCACACCATCAAGAGGTACTGAGTCGGTGATGTAAACACAAAGGTTTATCTACCCAACACCTTTTACCCAGGAAGACTACGACTAGTATGCAAAGCACACCATCGAGAGGTACTGAGTCAGTGATGTAGACACAAAAGTTTATCTACCCAACACCTTTTACCCAGGAAGACTACGACTAGTATGCAAAGCACACCATCGAGAGGTACTGAGTCAGTGATGTAAACACAAAGGTTTATCTACCCAACACCTTTTACCCAGGAAGACTACGACTAGTATGCAAAGCACACCATCGAGAGGTACTGAGTCAGTGATGTAGACGCAAAGGTTTATCTACCAACACCTTTTACCCAGGAAGACTACGACTAGTATGCAAAGCACACCATCGAGAGGTACTGAGTCAGTGATGTAAACACAAAGATTTATCTACCCAACACCTTTTACCCAGGAGATAACGACTAGTATGCAAAGCACACCATTGAGATAACAGCTGTGCAACAGTTAAACAAAGAAGTGGTACTCTTGAGAATAAACGACAAATAAGGTTTATTAACACTGAAAATAAGCTACTCTCAGGACGGATAAACAGAGCTTGAGATTTTCATCTTAAATCTCGAGACGACCACGTAAACTATACCCCTTTTGGAGCCGAGTTGGAAGTAAAAACGACAAGCCTGCCAAGCCACTTGTCATATTTTGAACGTCGTTTTTGAAGGTCATTTTGATAGTTAATATATATTCGTGGGGAAAAAACTTACCGTACTTCGAACGGAAAAACACGGACGAGCCACTCAGACATTTAAGTACCAACACGACACATGCTGTACTAATTTGCTGCAAGCTTCCTACGCGTCAGATTTGATTTCTAACATTGGTATCACTTCAGGAAGGAAGCTTGCAAGAGGATCATTGGCTCAAAAAAACGGTTAAAAGAAAAAAAAAAAAACTCGTTACTTTAAGGACCGTTACTATTCCTTAATGGAGTATTTGAGATATTCATTAGCCTAAAAGATATACTCGTAGTTAATCGTACATATGGTAGAGACTGATAATATCATCAAAGATGACTTTAACTAGTACTTTAGTGAGTTGCTTGAAGGTACGTTAATTATTCAGAAATGAATATTACGTAGACATTTTGAGGTTCAAGAGGGTGTTGCGCATTTTTGAAAGATGAGATCACGTTTGTATTTGTTACTTCTCCCTTCTCTTTCTCTCTCTGTTTTGTTATTGTCTTTCTTTTTTTCTTTTTTTTTTTTGTCATTCTTTCGTTCATCTCAAACACCCAAAGCATGTCGAATGCGCAGCTCGTTTTCCTCCTCGCTTGCGCAGGTATCCATCCGTGTAATCTCACTGTCGTTAGCCATCATTACGGTCACACATTTTTTGACTCGGTTAGCGCAAGACCCTAATCAAACGCACTGTACTAAAATGTATCTGTTCTCTGTTCTGTTCACAAACGGAGACGAATGGCTACCACAGGAACTCCAGTTGACATACATCAAGTATAAAGACAGAGCGCGCACTTCAAAGTCATGACTAGTCTATTTACTTACTAACTATACGTGACTAAAATCACATTATTATGAACTTGAAATTAGCCAACAACACGTCTCTAACACCAAGCAATTAACGAAAATGGGAACCAAGAGTAGAAGTGTAGTGGGTTATAATGTGAACACCTCCGGGTATTCCGGTTTTCTCTTCCAACAGTTATATCCAACATAATAAATTCCAATTCGATCTGCGAGTTATCTTTGACAGGACTTAGATCAGCCATCGCGATGTTCCTCTCTGCGCGCGCGCCTTAAATTCTTAACGTAGATCACAAGAAGAAAAAGAACATGGTGGCGTGCTTTGTTGGTTAGTACGACAGTGTGTGAAAAAAGAGGCGTAAAGACTTCCTTTGCAAATCTCCTGGTCGTTTTTTTTTTCACAGCACACATCAAGCTTAGCACATTTTATTTTTTAGAATAGTATAAAACATTACAGTGTCGAAACAAGGAAAGATTCTTAATGTCATGACTAGAGGCACAATAGAACCGCTATCATCTATCTATGCTTCAACCTTAATATTTTAGGCTTATGAGTGAAAAGTCTGCAATGTCACGTCTTTCATGCGAAGGTCAAAGTCCGCAAGCATTAAGATACGTTATCATGAGAATAAGTACACAGAAGCCGACGTTTAGCCTTGAAGGGCCTAAGATTACATTATACAGTGTAATATACTCTTAATTATGTAGTATTTAGAGTGTCACATTATTGGTATTAAATAAGGGCCATTATCTTGGTTGATCTTAATAAAAAAATTGTCATGAGCCTTTTTTGGTTTATCAACCCACATGAATGCCATGGCTTTTTTTTTTGCTATTTACACCTAATAGCGCAGCGCAACCGTGACGTCATAAAAACGAAGACAAAGGCGAAATTCGGACAAACAAACTTACAAGTTTACTTTCAGCAGATACTTTTCACAGCTGATCGCAGTTGATCTTAGTTTACATGGGTTATTATTGTAACTTTAAGTAAAAATAATAAAATCGGTTCGTATAATCCTCGTAGCGGTTAAACAGAATACGATGTTTGTCCGAATCTTTAAGCTATTTTTAGAATCAGTGCGCTGCGTAATTGAAAAAACGTAGTCGGGTTCGAGAAGGTCATATCATCGAAGCTAAGACCGAAAAGGATTTTGGGTACTCCGAAATGTGTATTATATTTGCATATAGACATGTAAAAATGCACAGTAGAGCAAAGTCGGTCGACCTAGATTAACAACATGCCAAAGCCATGATGAATAAAATGTGCACAGGAAGGGAAAACTGCAACACGCATGAAATTAGCATAACTGTTTGTCTTCCCATTCTCCCCTTCGGTCTTAGCTTTGATAATATAACCTTTTTTTAAATCCGACAACGTTTTTACAATCAGGTGTATATCATTTGGAAATGATTGCAAATTACCAATTGTCTTTTTTACCTTTGGCGTAATCCCCCCCCCCCCCCCATTTCATTCAACTTTACATTCCCTATAGTAAGATCTCTTTGTTTAACGGTTGCGCACGAGAAGCCACATACAACTCAAACAAAGAATCTAATTTCTCAAAAGAGTTGCATGTGGTCTGAATTGGGAAAATATTACTACGAAGACGAAGAGGTCTACTAGAGAGGATTTGAATGTATAAATCTTGGTGAAAAAAAATCTTTTTTTCAGAATATTCTTTGTCTTGAGTTGTTGAGAATTTTAATAAAATACTATATATACACCTATCTCCTCTGTGTTGATGTCCATCCCTCTTGTAATGTTCCCGTTTTACATCCTTTTATATGGTTTACTGTATATTGCATTATGTACCTATGTGTACCTCATTCGCTTTAAAAATGTCATGTGTTTACTATGAACATCAATCATTATTATTCAATGTCTTTCACCGTCATCATTCATATCTTTCGTCATAATAAACCAGCTTTTCTCTATCATAGAAACAGTGATATAACTGATGCTAGTGAGAAAACCACAGCTCCGAACAAGAACTCTCGTCTAATTGGCCAGCTTGTTGCAGTCTCCTCCTGAAATACCAAAAAAGGCATTTTTTATTTGTGTAGCTGAGAAACGGAAAGGGTTAGAGAGAACTAAATGGGAAATAGTTCATTGATTTGCAAATCTTTGACCTATTGACCTCACAACTAAGCCAAGCCACACTTGCTCCTTAAAACGAGTGTGTAAAATCACTGAGGGTCAAACTATGGACCTCTTGCTTAGCAGGCAGCATACTAACCAACCAAGCCACACTTACTCCTTAAAACAAGTGTGTAAAATCACTGGGGGTCAAACTAATGACTGAGGAAAGACACACTTGTCCCTCTGGAGGGAGTGGATGTCAGTTTGGAATATATTTGCTGGAAAATAATATCGAGGAGAGCAGCAGTTAGGCGGACTCGCGAA